TTACCTGCATTCCCCCATATATTTCATGTTATAGCAGTCTCGGATGATGACCCAGCACATGTTGTTCATTTTAAGAACATTTTCACTGCAGTTTTGAAAAACGCAAAGAAGGTACCAATGTGAGATTTCTACAGCACTCGATCCAAGGTTTAATAATCTGAAGTGCCTTCCAAAATCTGAGAGGGACGAGGTGTGGAGCATGCTTTCAGAAGTCTTAAAAGAGCAACACTCTGATGCAGAAACTACAGAATCCGAACCACCAAAAAAAGAAAATCAATCTTCTGCTGGTGGCATCTGACTCAGATGATGAAAATGAACATCGTACTATTAGTCGTTCTGCACTACTGTGGATCATTACTGAGCAGAACCTGTTATCAGCATGGATGCATGTCCTCTGAAATGGTGGTTGAAACATGAAGGGACATATGAATCTTTAGCGCATCTGGCATGTAAATATCTTGTGACGCCGGCTACAATAGTGCCATGTGAACGCCTGTTCTCACTTTCAGGTGATCTTGTAAACAAGAAGTGGACAGCATCATCTCCTGCAAATGTAAACAAACTTGTTTGTCTGAGTGATTGGCTGAACAAGAAGTCGGACTGAGTGGACTTGTAGGCGCTACAGTTTTACATTGTTTTATTTTTGAATGCAGGTGTTTTTTTTTACATAATTCTACATTTGTAAGTTCAACTTTCATGATAAAGAGATTGAACTACAGTACTTGTATTAGGTGAATTGAAAAATACTATTTCTTTTGTTTTTTAGAGTGCAAATATTTTAAATACAAAATAAATATAAAGTGAGCACTGTACACTTTGTATTGTAATTGAAATAAATATATTTGAAAATATAGACAACATTAAAAAAAATTAAAAAATGTATTCTATTGTTTAACAGTGTAATAACGATTACTTTTTTAATCACTTGACAGCCCTATTAGTGAGCTATAGCCTGAACTTAGTCCATTAAACATCTCATCAAATATTTTAATAATTTCTTTTGCATCCTTGTTTTTACAAGTTATATTCCTATTTGGTCATCTGCATGTGCAAATTGCTGTTAACCTGAGCAGACCTGGGACTTCCTTTTCCGCTGTTCCAAACTCTATTAAGTGGTATCTGTCCTTATGTGACATACCTGTGTGGTTTTGCTTTTGCGCCTTTTGTGCCCCTTATAAAATTGGGTACTCACTGATTATTTTGTACACTTTTCCTGCGATTACATTGCAAGCTCTAGTATCTTTTTTTAAATTCACTTTTTGCTCATTTATTACCGGTGTCACAAACCAATCTGTTTTAGACTCTTGCTTTGTTTTGTAAATGTACAAAGAGACTCAACTTAAAGACTCCTGTTTCTGGAATATCATCATTTTCACCATCAATGCTGTATGTTCATGAAAGTATTTTGCTTTTGTATTTCGTTGAAATTTGTGCTTGGAGCTGAGCAACACAATTAGAAAATGGTTGCTCCTATGCCTTGGATGACAGTACACTCATGATTGCTTCCTGTATTTATTGCAAACGAATCTTTTATTCCCATTTTTTAAACATTATGTCCTTGCTATACATTTTTTATTGGACGCACTTCATTTTTTTCACTGTTAACCTTTCATTTGGTAAACACAGTCTAAAGCAAATACCCACTTTTCTTTATAAAGGCAAGTCAATTTCCTGCAATAACCTTGCTTTCACTTGGTTATTACTCATACCACAAGTAACTGAGTCTCTAATTATTCTACCTGCTAACTTCATGTTCGTATGACTTGGATATATTACTCTGGTCAGTAGTCCGAGCTGTATAGAAAACGTGACTTGCCCATGTGACATTCTTTCATAGATCAAGATATTATTAAAATTTTTGAATTTTCCCCCCTAACTTTGCAATCCCATACATGGTCCCACTAATATGTAGCTCTCTGGTACTTCTGGGTCTCCCATGCTCCCTCTCATATTTGTCTGCAATACCATTTGTTTTCAGGAAAATATGGTAATCCTGAAGAAAGAGAGATTTGATAGTTGGTCCAATGGTGAGGGCTCTAGCATGGGACTTAGGAGGTCCAGTTTTAATTCTTTGTTCTGCTGCAGATTTTGTGTGACTTTGGGCAAGTCATTAAGCATTTCTATACCTCAGCTCCCCATCTGTAAAATTAAGATAATTATACTTCTCCCATTCCCCTCCTCACAGGTGTGTGGTGAGGATATATACATTACAAGATTGAGGCACTCAGATACTACAGTAGTGTGGGCTATATAATTACCTTTTGGTAGCTAGCATGTGACTGCTTTTATCAGGTTCCCTTCTAGACCTGATTCAAGTGGCTTCATTTGCTCCATCTTTGTCAAAGATTCAGTTTTCTTCTGTCAGCGTGCATAAAGATGTGCTGCACAGGAAGTTGGTGAGTGTTTGGTGAGGAAAGCTGATGCTCCCAGTGACCAGTCACAATAGGCTAAAAAATACCATTGAGATTAACAGAGATCTAAAACGTGCTTAAGACCAGTAAACTACTAGCTTTTAAAATTATTTCCCCCTACTTCCATCTCTTCAGCATCTGCCTATAGTGGATATGTTAGAAACTACCTTCAGTGCATTAGCGATGATATAATAATCATTGTGTCACAGTTCAGGGCGGCTGCACCTGTATTTCCCCCTCTGTGGTCCAATAAATGCATCTACTCTAGGCCCCTGGCTCGTCAGCTGTCACCTCTTTTGGGTGGAGACCTGGGCCACCAATCCCAAGGGTATTTGCAGGCTGCGCAGTTCCCTGACTATACTGTGATATCCCTAGCAAAAGACAGACTGCCTATGCAGGCCTGCTTCACTTCTCTCCTCAGAGATGGTACACAGCATGATTGCCACAGTTAGGTTATCACACAGCTCTATATAAGCAAGCACATTTATTCTTAAAATGAAAGCATTCAGAGAAAACCCACTAACACAATAGAAGAACCTACATGCATGCTAATAAGCTTACCATAGATCATCCCAACTCCAACAAGGTCTCTGGCCAGTGAACAGTCCTTCAAACCCTACCTAGGGGTTCTCCTGTGGTCACAAGTTCATCACAGGTTCAGCTCAGAACAAGCACTATCAGCCTTATGGGGGTCTCAGTATTCGAAAGTCCTTCCCTAAGGATTGCGGGATACACCCTCAAGAGGTCCTGTCTGTTTGTTGGATCAGAAGGAAGGCCCCGAGTCACTTTTAAGTCCGGCTATTTAACCAAAAATCCTTTCTTTGTCTGTTGGTGCCAGAAAATCCAGTTTGAACCAGTATAGGTGAGCTTCTCTTCAGGTGGTCGTAACTCTCTGGAGGTTCTCTGAGTGAATTTGCCTAACCACCCGCCTAAATCATTTACCTGACCAGCCTCCACTTAGTTCCTGGGGTACTGTGTTCCCCCGCCCCCATGGAAATACATACAATCCCTCGATAGTACATGAACATTTGCATTTTTAATACAGTGAACTCCTAAAATACTTTTTGAATTAAGTTTAAGGTTTGTCAGGAAATTGCAGGGTATTGTCATATCTGTCATACATTGCATTCACCTTTATCATCATTACCAGCCATGCTGCACTTCTGTTCTCCTTTACTTGCCCAGTTTTTGTGGCCTCTAACCAGTCCAAGGCATAATTAGTGGAAATTAGAGAGAAGATAATGAGTGGATCAGGTGCATAAAGTACTTGTTTTCTGCAGACTAGGAGATGTTGCTAATTAATTGTTTATATTTCTGCCCTGTCCCTGCCATTTGTTCTTGTCCTCTGATATAGGAAACTCTGGAAGATTTTTAGTGGCAGGGCCAACAGCTACACACATCAGGTAAAATCTTGGCTTCACTGAAGTCAATACAGTTTTACCATTAGTTTCAATGGTGCCAGGATTTCACCCCTTGTGTGTGGGGGGTGTGTGTATACATAAATTGTGGAGAAATTCCACCTTTTTGGTGAAAGAATTAAACTTTTGTTTGGAATATTAAAATAAGTGCTGAGGAGAGGGATTTTAATGATAGAGTGCATGTAGGTAGTCAAACAGATAAAAAGTATAGCAGGATTGCATGGTTTTCCAAAATATTATCACATGACTAGCCCTGCTACAAATCAATTATATATAATACTCATAATAAGTACTTTTGAATGAATGGGAGGACTAAATACCAATTCTAATACAAGTTTAAAATAATAATTATTTGTGATTTTCAGTTTTTCACTCTGTATTTCTTGTTAAAAGCCATACAAATCAGGATCATGTTAATAGCATAACACAGAATGCCATAAGATGTAGAAGGGGTCTATGAATTTTTATCTTTGCTCCATCACACTCAGGTCTGGTCTACACTAACCCCCCAAGTCGAAGTAAGGTACGCAACTTCAGCTACGTGAATAACGTAGCTGAAGTCGACATACCTTACTTCGAACTTACCGCGGTTCAGACGCGGTCCACACGCAGCAGGCAGGCTCCCCCGTCGACTCCGCGGTACTCCTCTCGTTGAGCTGGAGTACCGCAGTCGACGGCGAGCACTTCTTGGTTCGATTTATCGCGTCCAGACCAGACGCGATAAATTGAACCCGGAAGTTCGATTTCCAGCCGCCGAACTAGCGGCTAAGTATAGACCAGCCCTCAGACTGAAGCTGATGGTTCCAGAAAATCTCTCTTTCTTTCTTTGAACCCTTGGGTTATTTCAGTGTCAGAAATATGTATTGCTTCATAAAAAGGGAGCAAGCACTCCACACATTCTTCCTCCCCCCCCCCACACACAATGTTGTAGAGTTTTGTGTCTATAATCTTCCTTTATTTTTTGCAAAGGTAGTAGTATCATGTATGTACTTTGGAGACAAATTATACATTATAGTGCATACCACAGCTAAAAAGTAAAATGCCATTAAAACAACAGCAGCTCTGGTGAGAACAGAGGTGGTTAAAGTCATGATATTGTTCTATTGTGACTCTAAATATTCTCCTTACTAGACATAATGCAATTCTTTTTTTTTTCTTCTTTCCAATTTAGGTACTTCAAAAGCTAGGGAAAGCTGATGAAACAAAAGATGAACAGTTTGAAGAATATGTTCAAAACTTCAAACGACAAGAGGTCAGTTACTTGTTTGGTTTGTATATCACAAAAAAATTGGGGTGTATTGATTGTGATGAACATGCTTTTGGGCAACAGGTCAGACACATTGTATGAAGATTTACAGCTCAAGGATTTCATCCAGCAGTCTTCCTGTAAACAAAACTCTCTTCAAGTTTTGCTTGCAAAGTGACTGCAGGATTGGGCCCAACATTTGTAATAAAGGGCCAGGTTCTGATTTCATGCAACACCATTCTGAAGCTGGAGGCACTCTCTTGAACACAGTGTCATGTAACTCACTGGAGTGACTGTGGATGTACAACAGTGTAACTGAGAATAGAATCTGACCCAAATTAATACTGCAAATGCAAAACTGTAGTTGTATTTTACAAAGGGGAGGCATATTTGTGTGATTTCTTTGCTTGTTTTCTTGGCTGTATTAGACTTAGTAGTTGCCACAGTCTGAAGTTGAACATGAACGTTATAGTGTGTATAGACTGTAATGTGTATTCTTCCTGCACTGTCTTATTGATGTATTATTATTAATAATAATTATTATTGTAAATATTAATTTCACAACAGTGCCCAGGCAGCCAATCAAGATTGGGGCTTCATTGTGCTAGGTGCTGTAGGTACACATATGATGTACCTACTCTCTGTCCCAAAGACCTTATTATCTACTCTGCTTACAATGTATTCTAAATTCTAACATCCATTACTCCTTGCTGTACTGATCAGAGGTGACTAATTATACTGAATTCCATGGCAGCTTTCTAGTGTGAATTAATACCCACTAAGAATTAGATGAATTCTACCAAGATTATTTCATTTGTTATATAAGATAAATATGAATCCAGGTCTCCAGAGGTTTAATCATAGTCTTTCTGTTCTTTCCTTTGCGTGCGGTTTAGCTCACATGTAAAGACACTCAAATAGTTCAGGCCCAAGAAGTTATATTTCTCTATCTGTTGTTGAATGTACTCGGGGATACAAAAGATCTGTTTTATTCATCTAAAATGTTTCACATGTAAGTGAAAATAACAAATTTATTTTTAAAAAAGTTCATCTGTATCAAGATGTTTTCTATAAAAACAACCCCATTAGAAAAGAGCTAACATGGTGAAATGGCCACATTAAACGAGAAGCCGTTAGGGACTGACTTGTATCTCCATCACCTCTGGTTGTTCATACGCTCTCTTACAGCCCAGAACCTCACTCATGGGAGATGTAACTAGGACTGGGGGAGCGTCAGGGTTGGTCCTCCACGTTTTAGTATGGCATGTGAGAATTGGCTTTGGGAGCATGAGACTGTCAGTGTTTGTGATTCCCACCCTGAATCAGTCCCTCCCCATGCCACTCATTGGTGTGTATCCCATACAGACACTGCTCATTCCTCCCCTACCTCACTTGCTCCAGACTGGCCAGCCGCAGCTGGGCTCCTGCTCAGTGTCCTTGCAATTAATGGAGGGGTGCAGAGAGCCACTGAAGTAAAGTATTTGCACTCCCCTCTCCCTGAGGCCCAGGAGCAATGGAGGCTTCAGGAATTGCTTGGCCAGGTGGACCTTCACTTCTCCATCCCTCCATTCAAGGGAAGGGAGGCAGTAGCAGTCACTGTTCTGGGAGGGTGGTTCTTCACTCACCTTCCTGAGACCTAGAGGGAGATCGAGGTATCATGAGCCACTGGGCCCAAAGCAGAGAGCAGTGTTGGGAGCTGTTGGGCCATGCAAGGATCTTGTATTTTTAACAGGGACATTTACATTAACATGGGACATTTTTCTACTTCCTCTTCTGCAGCTGCTTATTGTCGAGTGGGGAGCATAATCATTTCTTGGTAATGTCACTGCCATTTGCATGGCAACTAATTGTGATGTCAAAAAAAGAGGTATACATTTTCTCTTTAGTTGGAGCAAAGGTGGGAGGAATGAGGCCCTGTTAAGAAACAAAGTTCCTGTAAGATGTAATTTTTAGCCAAATAACTCTAGTAATAGAAGGAGAAATAAGAAGGAAGATGACAGGGCGGGGGAGGGGGGGAATCGCCTATTTCAGCAAAATTTTGTCTCAAAATAATTTGTTTTTGAAGAATTTGCTGTAGTGGTATTTTCCCGCTGGAAGTCTTGCTATGGGCAAACAAGGCTGATGATGCTAATTTTATTTATCTTCTCAGTCTTTGGTGGACAGACAGTAAATAATGAGCAGTCATGGGCACAGCAGACTCTAGATAGCACTAAATCAGGACATAACCATGACGTAGTGCAAGGGGTTGAACTGAGGTGGAAAGGACTAGCGTTCCTCTTCTAAACTCCACCTACAAAATAAGCCCTGCCCACATGATGTTCCAAATTGACACCATTTTGAGTAGATAGTGCAGATGTTTAAAATCTGATCATGCATGCTCTCTGAGCTCGATTGGGCTCCTTGGGCTTCATTCTCCCTCAGTGGGGTTCAGATGTACCCATAGGCTCTGCTTGGTTCCTAGTGCTTGATTATGGAAAAACAAAAGCCTGTCTATTTGCATAGGTCTTCATAATATGCCTCCTCTTGGTTTGTCCTTGCTTTGATCAACAGTGAAATAGTTGACAAAGTTCCGATATAAAATATTATCATTGTGCATCTGAATTTATACCCGTTCTGATGAATGTAGCATTTTTCAGCTTTCAAAGCAACTCAACCAAACCTCCCTGTCAGAGAACATTTTAAGGGAAATTCCAAACTTCACTTAAAATCTCTGACTAGCAACTTGGCTCAATAATGCATCCATCTGATTCCCAGCTGTGCCCTAGGGCTGCATTTGAGTTCTGGGGAAATTGTCCCTTCAGCTTTGCTTCCCCTTCTAAGGTATTTGCAGCCACTGGTGCCCCTGCAGGCTTCAGCGAGTGAGCTAAATTGAGAAATGCCAGAGGATAAAAGAAAGGTCTGTTTCACTTTCTCCCTCCCTTATCAACTGTCTCATTGGGGGAGCTTGATGAGTTCTGTGGGCAGAATGCAGTCCATACCCCTACTTATCCAGGCAGGGTCATCTCGCCCCCCTTCCCTAACAGGAAAGAACTGGCTCCAGGGGCAAGCCACTGTCCCTCCGCCCCCGCCTCTATCTGTGTTAGAGGAGTGAAGCCAGATGGAAGATTGTGCCTGGGTTCTTATAGCCTACATTAGCAGCCACGCCTCTGATGGCCCTACCCATCCATTTTCCCCATAAACCACGGATGCACAGCACTGGACACAGCACCATTCTCCAATGCCCACTTTGTTTCCATGCTTCCATCTCCTCCAAGCAGCTAGCCAAGGAGTGAGAAGAGGGGCAGCAACCCAGATGTGAAAGAACAGCAAGGGATCTCTTCTTGGCCCACCATTTATTTACATCTAACCCTTAGCCCACATTTTATAAGGCCAGAATGTTCCTCAGTGCACATGAGTCCAAATTCAAGCTAGTGTAACTACTGAAAGTAAATGTGGCTATCTCCTCTGATGGTCGAAGACCAAGTGTTTCTAACTAGGGAAGATGGTTAACTGAAAGAATGGCCTTCTCAATACACTGGCCCTTCACAGGTAGCCAGTTCCAGGAAGACATCACCTCAGTCCCCTTTGTGAGCATGAAAACTCTCAGGTGGCAACAGACCAACTCACCCGCTGGAAAAAAAATTATGATCAGTTATGACACCCTAAGCTCCTGCACATGCTGGCAATGCTAACGTTTCTTCCAGGATTGTGTTAGTGTTAATAATGGCTTAAGGAAGAAGAAAAATTACTTTTATCTCTTTCTGGATCATTTTTTATCAGAACTCTGTACAGAGAGAGTTGAAACAAACCACAGAGTCATATGGTTTCTGGAATATGTTGGATTCATAATAAACACAGACACATGGTACCAGGGAAGTCAATCAAAGGGCTGGGCTGAGGAAGAATACTATCTGGTACAAAGTCTTATTTCAGACTAATATTAACTGAAAATGGCCACAAAAGCCATAAACAGAAACAAAAATCCAATTACTATTGGAGCCTATTGGGAATTCTGATCTCAGACACAGGCATGCTTCAGTGAACCAGAGTGCATAGGAGACCTGTCCAGTATTATTTGTTATTCCTTCCACATCTCACCCTATCACATCCATTGGCAGAGATCACAGTCCCATTGTAAATTCTCCCCTCCCTCCACTGGTGAATGTGGAGAATCAGATATTTTTAAGGGATTCACTGATTAGCAAACCAGGCAGAGCGATCTTTAGGTCAGAGGCCAACTGGGGATAATGGAGGAAGGTGCATTTAGATCCCATTTCAATCCAGGAAATGGGTACCAGAGACAGGGCACAGCATCCACCAGCTAGAACATAGTGATTCCTGAGGTAGGAGCTACAGAGTACTATTTAAAGTAGAAGGGGCAGCACAGATTCCCTGCCTGACCCTCCACCTCTCTCAGGAACCCCACTTCCCCCCACCAGCAGCCTGGACCCCAGGCACATGAGTCCATCCACTCATCCCCTCAAACTTTGAGTGAGTGGAATTATGACCTGACAATTTTGGACCAGCTCCCCCATTCCCAATCAAAGTGGTCAGGCTGTGGTGTCTCCCCATTGCTCCACAGCCTATGCACTGAGGTCTCAGAGCACTGCTCCTTCCATGGATAACAGACTTGTTCTGGTCATGACATTTTTGTAAATAAGTGAGGAAGAACATGATCAGCCCTATCCTAGAGAGAAAATCAACGTCTATCCTGGGCAGAGCAGTTTCCTATCTTTGTATGCACTGCCAATAAAGGAGGACATGAACACCAATCCTTACATGACTAAGGATTGGATTAAGCAGAGTGGAACCTGCAGCCAGAAGTATCCTCACTCATTGTAAGTCAATTTAATCAACTGGTGATTCATCTTTTTGCAACTGGAAACAGCTGTAAAGTGCCCCGTCAGGACCTGCGTAGTGAATGACCTCTCACAAGACTAGGCAATGTCTTTGCTTTGTGCCTCCCCACCTTTTTCCCTGCTCCCCAGGACAGTATAAAAGTAGGAAAGAGAGAACAGCGATGTACT